TGAGCCAAAAAACAGTTAGAAGACTATTGAAATATGTACAGCAACACGCATACGCAGTAAGAAGGTCGTAAGGATTTACAAATATAAAAAATAGTAATTTACTAATAGAGCTATATTTTTTATTTATTGGTTTTGAGGTTCGGGACTTTAATGATGTGCAAAATTGTTATAACAACATGAGTTGAAAGTGTACCTAAAAGAGATCTTATATATATATACATATATATATATTTCAATGACAATTAAGTCGGTATAAATAGCAGAATGTACGTTTAATAAAGTTTTGTACTTGCAACAATGTCAAACACCTGAAGCAGAAAATTTGTACCTATGTGCTCGTAATTCAACATAAAAACGGTTGAAGCAGTAAAGTTGAGCGCGTGTGCTGGTGAAGCAACATAAAACCAGTTGGAGCAGTAAAGTTGTGTTCGTGTGCTCATAAACAATGTAAAAACGGTTGAAGCAGCAAAGTTGTGCTCGTGAAGCAACGTAAAAACGGTTGAAGCAGTAAAGTTGTGCGCGTGAAACGATACCGCACAGTTGGAACACAGTAAAACAAATAACTAATATATGATTTGTAGGAGTAGAGTTAAAGCGTGTAAATTGAATAATGAACAGTAAAATCATACACTTTATCTATATTTTTAAACCATAAAATGTGTAATATTACTTTGTTTCCACTCTATTTTTAAAAACTTTGCAAAACATTGTCACTAAGATTATTCATTTGAAATATTGTAGCTATGTTGATGACACTGTAGCTCACACAAAATCACGCCACGATTACACCAATAAAACTGTATTGACTGAAAGAAACTGTAGGATTTTGCATTTTGGTTTCAAATCGACGTGGGGGGTATAGTTTTAAACTTGGAATGAAGATACAGTTTTAAATTTGGAGTGGAGCTACAGTTCTAAACTAGGAATGAAGATACAATTTTAAATTTGGAGTGAAGGTACAGTTTTAAGCTTAGAGAGAAAATATTGGTTTATGCTTAGAATGATAATACAATTTTAAACTTGGGGTGGAGATACTATTTTAAATTTAGAGTGTAGATACAGTTTTAAACTTGGTGTGAAGATACAGTTTTAAAATAGTAGTGGAGATACAGTTTTAAACTAGTAGTGGAGATATAATTTGAAACTTGGTGTGAAGATAGAGTTTAAACTAGTAGTGGAGATACAGTTTTAAGCTAGAAGGGAAGATACAGTTTCAAACTTGGTGTGTAGATACAATTTTAAACTAGTAGTGGAGATACAATTTTAAACTAGTAGTGGAGATACAGTTTTACACTTGGTGTGAAGATACAGTTGTAAACTAGTAGTGGAGATACAGTTTTAAATGCAGAGTGTAGATACAGTTTTAAATGCAGAGTGTAGATACAGTTTTAAATTTAGAGTGTAGATACAGTTTTAAATTTAGAGTGTAGATACAGTTTTAAACTAGTAGTGGAGATACAGTTTTAAACTAGAAGGGAAGATACAGTTCCAAACTTGGTGTGAAGATACAATTAACTATTTTCATAAGTACTGTATAGCATTTATGTATTTGAAAATAAGTATTTTGAACCTTATTTTAAGACATTTCTCGCTGCATTAATAAACTTGATTGTTACGTATACAGCTCTACATTTAATACGAGCCGTGCTTACCTCCTCTACAGCAACACGTAGGTGCCTGGTTGCCCAAGGGTTTTCTTGAGTTTCCATAGTTTAACGTAGCAGTAGGAGAGTATCTCTTTTATTAAGGCAACATAGCATCACACGGTTGGAAGGTTCAACGTTAAGGTAACAAGAAATTCACAATGACGTAACGATGACGACATCTACCACAGTTTGTTTGTTTCAGAATTGCGCGCAAACTCACGCAAGTACTATCTGCGCATAAACTTCCTTAATTTTATAGAATAGAGGAGAGGCAGGTTGTCAACAGTACCAACTGCCAACTCTACAGTTAATCTTGGATGATCGAATAGTGACATTTGGTCGTTTCTCTTATTACGCATCCACACGCCTGAAAGTGTAGAGTTCGCGAATCCTGAATTCTCGGCTTCACAGTCTTGACAAACTAACCACCACAGCTATTTGTTCTGTACGACTAATTGTTAGAGAAAATTGTAACAGTTTTGCTAGTTTACGTGTATCATAATTTATTGCTTACAAGAGACTAAAAACACTGGGAACACAGTTTTAGAGGTGGAGTAGTTGTGTAGTTCTAAAATACGGTTTTAAACATGACAGGCCAGTAAAAGAAAAAAATCCTATTGGCTGGACAATATTACTAAATTCTTGTACTGTGTTTTTCTATTATCCCATCAGACAACGAAACTAATGATACACTATATGTTCTGTATAACTATTAACTATTGATGCACTGTAGTCACTACTGGTAGACCCACAAATCATAACACTTGCTTTCAGGTAAGTATATTATAATCTGGGGTCAGGCAGGTAAATAATACTAGTTCAGTGATGTTGATGTCAGCTGAGAAAGTCGACTGCTATGACGTAGGTTGCAATCTACAAATAAGCAAGTGACTGACGTATCTCCTAAAACCCCATGAACATAGGTATACAAAAGGTCTTAAGTGAATAGCCACCAAGCACCGACAGGGTACTTCAATCTGCTAAAAACCACCGATAAGGTACTGCAATCTGTCACAAACCATTGACAGGGTACTGCAATCTGCTAAAAACCACCGATAAGGTACTGCAATCTGTCACAAACCATTGACAGGGTACTGCAATCTGTCACAAACCATTGACAGAGTACTGCAATCTGTGACAAACCACTGACAGAATACTGCAATCTGGCACAAACCACTGACAGAATACTGCAATCTGTCACAAACCATTGACAGAGTACTGCAATCTGTGACAAACCACTGACAGGGTACTGCAATCTGTCACAAACCATTGACAGAGTACTGCAATCTGTGACAAACCACTGACAGAATACTGCAATCTGTCACAAACCATTGACAGAGTACTGC